TGAATTACCTCCTGTGGAGCTGGCCTCAGTCCAGTCAAGAGAGCAACTAGTTACCCCATCAGCAGTTTTATCACTATTCCACCAGTGGGCTCATCTTGCCTGGCAGGTCAGTATTGAAGCATTCAACGATAAGATAGCATTTTTTTCCCTCAGCAGCCTGAATAGCACCTTCTGAAATTATGAAAACATAGTGTTGGATGTGCATTTGTAATTCCTGGATTAGGGCCATGGCAGGAGGGGGGGGAGCTGTGGCAGGAGGATTGCTGCAAGTTTGCAGTCAGCCTGGACTACATATTGCTTTCTAGTCTAGCCTGGACTGCAGAATGCAACTCTTTCTCTGAAAGAGTTTTTTTTTTTTAAATGTTTATAGGCTCCTTTAAAATTTAAAATTAAGTGAGGCTGTTGCTTATAGCAATAAACTCTAAGAATTCAAACACACACACACAGTTATGTACAGTGCTGAAGAGGGGAGTTTTGGGGGGTTCTTTTATTTCTTTGACTTTTCTTCATCTCCCAAATGCTGTGTAATGGACCTGAATTTCTTTTCCATAACTCAAATTCCATTTTTAACCCAAGATAATATATGTAAAGCTTGCATTCACATGATAATTAAGACCATCCTCTTTGGATACTGAATCCTGGCTCTGTTCCTTTCTAGCTGTGACCTAAAAGTGGATGCTTTGAGATGGCCTCCTTGTCAGAATTAGGCTCACACTTCTGTGCTGGGTCTATAGCTGGACAAGGTTTGACACAGGTCTTGATATAAAATAAAGGCCCAGTGAATAGTCTCATATTACTTCTTCTGTAGTTAACTTTGGTGTTAATAGAGATGTGAAGGTCTCCAATTTAACTTGACAAGTATTCTGTTCCTTTATTTTGGTCGCCATTGTGTGTGTGTGTGTGTGTGTGTGTGCGAGTGTGTGTGTGTGTGTGTGTGTGTGTGTGTGTGTGTGTGTGTGTGTGTGTGTGTAGGGCTGAAGACAACACTGAGTGTTGTTCCTCAGGAGCTGTTCACATTTTCTTTTGAGACAGAACCTCTCACTGGCCTCTAATTTACCAAGTAGGCTAGGCTCACTGGCTATCAAGCTTAGGGTTCCACCTGCCTCCAGTGTGCCTACAAGCATGTGCCAACATTCCTACCTGTATAAAATGGTGAGTTCTGGGTTGGGGGAGTCAAACGCAGGTCCTCATGCTTGCCAGGCAAGTGATTTACCAACTGAGTCATTACCCCAGTCCAGCCAATCACATTTCTACAAGACCATGAGAAGACTGGGGTAGTCTGTTGTTCTTTGTTGTAGTTGCAGGCGATAAAAAACGATTCACCAAACTCAACAAACCCACATGGAGTTTTTTGGGAAAGGGAGCAAAGGGAGGGGAACAGAGATGGAAAGAAGAAGAGAACAGGCAGGAGACACTTGCTTCTATAGGGAATGGGAATGGTTTAGAATGAGTCTCAGCAGTTGGGGCCGTTGAAACTGGAGACATGGAGCTGCTGTTGGTCCAGCTCTACACGGCCCCAGTTCCACATGGTTTCTACATGCACAGCCCTTATGCAGCCACCTAACACATGCACAATGCAGCCATGCTGGTTTCTGCATGCAGAATTCTTATGCAGCCATCTAACTCATGCAGTATGCAGCCGTGCAACCTTTGACAGCTGTCAGTGGGAGCAATCACCTGTCAAGGATTGATCCCTGGGCTACAGAAGGTAGCCCAGAGAAGAACTATTCCAGGGTAGGGAGAGAGCCTGAGGATTAGAGAGGCCCCACCACCAGGAAAGGTTCCCTAAGGAGAAGGCCCAGGCCCAGGAGAAGGCTGGCACAGAGCGACAGGCGGGTGCTGAGGAGAAACCAAGGAGCGGGAGGAGGAGAAGAGTTGGGCGCAAGAACAGGGTCAGGTTGCCCAGGACCCAGGGAAAGGGAGAAGCCAGGATATCAACAATGTCTGTCTAGGAATAAGAGGTAACACCAGAGTAGCTATGTAGCCTGCATCTGTCCCCAGTTCTCCAACTCTGCCTTTGACTGACAGCCTCATAGTCTCATTTATTACCTCTCCCTTTACAAGCAAAGGTACAGCCCATCAGTTGGTGTTAAGTGGATTGTTGGTCCAGCAGCCTCAAGACAAATTACTCCTGTTGGATTTGGATGACTAGAACCAGATGAAAAATATCTGCATAAAAATATTCTTTTGAGCCGGTGTTGGTGGTGCACACCTTTAATCCCACCACTCGGGAGGCAGAGGCAGGCCGATCTCTGTGAGTTTGAGGCCAGTTCCAAAGCTACACAGAGAAACTCTGTCTCGAAAAACCAAAATAAAAATTCTTTTGAAAAAAATTATTTTTAATGGTGAGCTGACACATGGGTCCTTGGGTTAGGGGTCCTGCGTTTGTACCCTGTGACAGTCTAAGTTCACACAAAGGAAAATGAGGCAGAGCTGGTGCTGGGCAGAGAAGGCAGTGAATCCTTGAGGACAGAGATGATGACCGAGGATCTGACAACAGAAAGTCTCACTCTCTAAGTGAGCTCATAGTGGAGTCTAAGTTTGCATTAAAAGAGATACATGAATATGGTGAAAGACCCCAATGATTGAAATTAACAACAGAAAGGTTGGTCTCTTTCTATTTTCATTGGAGTTGTGTGGTGCACGTGTGTGCTTGTTTGCATATATGTGGGTGTGCATGAATGTGGAAGCTCTGGGATGATGTCATGGATAATCCTCAATTACTCTTTCACTTTATTCTTTGAGGCAAGGTCTCTCAATCGAAACCAGAGCTCACAAAACCAGTTTGCTCTAGTGATTCCTGCATCTCTGCCTTCTGAGGCTAGAATTACAGGTGAGCCACCACACCCACCCAGCATTTACATGAGTTCTAGGGATCTGAACTCTGATACTCAGGCTTACACAACAAGTGTTTTAACCACTGATCCATCTGTCTAGACAGTCTTTAATAACAGTTGCCACTTAGTGGGTCCTTGGGATATGGGTTGTCATGGTTACTATTGATGACCTCTTCACTAGAATCGCCTATGGGATAAATCTCTGGGCATGTCTGTGAGAGAGTTTCTAGACTGGATTAACGGAGGTAGGAAGACCCACCTTGAATGTGGGCAGTGTCATCCCATGGGTTGGGGTCCCAGACTGAATAAAAAGGACATGATGAGCTGAGACCAGCGTTCATCTCTCTCTGCATCCAGACTGAGTGTGACCAGCTGCCTCAAACTGCCCTGCTGTGACCCTGAGTACAGGCAGGTGACAGTGGGTATGTGGATCTGGCCAGAAATGAAGTGTGGGAGGGGCAAGTGTGTTGTTTCTTCTTTCACAGGGTAGTTCTTCAGCAGGCCTGGAGGGTAGGAAATAGGTGAAACAAGAAAATCCCATGAGACACTGACTTGTGAAGCCATGGCAAACGTTTTAATGACAACTGCCACCACAGGTATAAATAAATAGCTTTTAAATCTATTGTAAATGCTATAAATATTTGTGTCAAAGGTTCAGCGAGGTCATCGGGCTTTCAGGACCTTTTCTTAGCTACTGATTTTAGTGATAGAAAAAATTTAAAACAGAGGCCATCCCCTGGTATGTCCATGATTACTCTGCTGAGAGTCACAGCACTGGATGTCCCCTCCCTCAGCTAATGGACAGAGAGCACCAGGCTCTGGACATCCTAGGAGTTCATCTGCTCCCTCCTTTTTTTTTTTGCTTTTCATGCAAACACACTGCTTTTGAGTGGGTATGGCATTGTGCCATGTTGTTACACAGCTGTGCAAAGCCACAATTTGATTGACAATCTAACATAGATTTTTTGCCATTTTGAGTTTATGCTGGTTCACCCTGCCCAATAAAATCAGATAACTCAACTCTACCCCCCAAAATCTTTTCTGTTTGTTCAGTACAGTGCTTGCTGTCTCTTATGGTAGACATGGCCCATCTGCCTAACTTTGAACACCCTGAACTTATGGATTGGACTAACATCTCTCTACATAAAGGCATCCCTATGTCCACACCGATGGAGACACTGAGACTCTGACTTCACATGAAGTGGCTGGGTGTCACAGGCTTCACTCTGTTCTCCTGGCTACATCCTATTCAGACAACTGTAAACATTATTCCACCCACTGGCCTGACCCAACTGATAACGATTGTGGGGACCAATCTACTCATGGAAGGAACTGGGCACTTCCTATATTGCTAAAAAGAAAACAAAACAAGCAACAAACAAGCCAGAAAATGGCAATAAAGCAGGGGAGATATGAAAACAGGTTAATGTTACAACAAAAATATCAGACTCATTGATGGTCTTCCTAAAAAGTGGGAAAAAACCCTATCTAATGACTAGAAATTTACATTTTATTTAGGAAAATATACTATTTGGTTCTCAGAAATAAACATGAAATTAAATGAAATGGAAACCTAGCATACAAAAGGGAGACATGGAAGCAAGAAGAGATAAGGAATCGAATCTAAAATTCTCTTTCTTCCTAAGTGGCAACTGGTGTTCAGATGGATTTCCTCCTGGACAGCAGGTTGATGGGCACAGGGTGACTGTCCCCAGAAACATGAAGATTGAATTAAAATGGAGGCGGCCTCTTAGCAAGCCCTATTTTTACATCTTGTTCCTTTATTAGAAATATAAACCAACAGTCATTTGTGTCTTTTTTTATTTGTCTTTTTGTATTTTTTAACAAATATTTTTGGTAGTTTGTCTGCAGTGTATTTTGATTCATAAAATAACCCTCTCACCTCTGAGCAGTTCTGTCATGGGTCCACTCTGCCTCCCTGTGGAGTCAGACTCAAATATCTGAAAACCTATCTGTCCTCAACTGCTTAAAAAAAAAACCCTCTAATATAAAACCCTCCCTTCCCAGCTTCTTAAACTGCTAGCTGGTATTTTGTGAGCCCCAGTCTGCCTCACTCAGTCCACTGGGAGCTCCCTCCATCCAGCTACTCTGCTGAGGGAGGGAAGAGAGGACACTGTCCAAGTTGGAGAAATGGCCAGAGCACTACACATTGTCTTGGAACTTCTCTAGGTAGGCTCTGAGTTCCTTGGACTTGCCCACATCTAGGTCTTGGCAGACCCACTTGATGTCATCGTCACTACTGAGGATGGAGTTCACTGTGGGGCAGCTGTCCTCAGGGGGGATGGTGAAGGTGGCAAACTTCACCTTCTTCATCTTGGAGGTGGGTGAGTTTGCGGGTTCCTGCCTGAGCTCCCTGCCCTGCCGCCCCTCAGAGCCTGGTGGCCTGTGGACCTGGCTCTGCATGTGCTTTTGGGAGCCACCATTGAGAAGCAGGTGGTTGCTCTCTTCACAGACTCCCAGCCCTCGGTCTATGATGGTCGTGTGTTCATCCTGGGGTAGTGACACGTCCCCAATGTTCTCCAGGAGCTCCGCCTCATTGCCCAGCCACACCCAGTCATGAGAGTGGGTCATGGATGCCTGGCCTTCCAGAGGCACCTGTTTGTGCCTATACTTGAAGGCAAAAGTGGCGCAGTTAATGAGAAAGACAAGGATGGCCAGGCAGAAGACCCCCAGCAGGGCGTACATCCCAATCTCCAGGTCACTCAGGCCATGGGCAGTCTGCATCAGACCATTCTCCTCCAGTGTGCTCCCAGCCTTGGGGAGGTCCACATGGGCTGGGAAGTTGGTGAAGTCTATGGGGATGCTGTGTAGCCTGGCCCCATCCAGCCTGCCACTCTTCCCCACTTTGTTATCCATCAGGGACTTGGCAGTGGTGGTGGCACTCAGCAGGGCCCCTTCCTCACGTTCCCCGGGAGAGTTGCCATGATAGCGTTCATCCTGGCCTGGGCGTTCCAGGTCCTGAATCTTCTGCCGGCGATCACTGGCATGGTTCTTTATTTCTTCCTCATCTTTATCTCCTGTCTGGCTGGAGTCAGTATCATCCCATCCAAACTTGACCCCCATGTGGCCGATGCCCACAGCCAGCACGCTCTTGCGTTTGGATTTCTGACAGGCCTCAGCAATGGACATATCCACTCGGAGCAGTGGGCCCTGGCCTTCTCCTTCAGCCACCACAGTGGGCCACCAAGGTGAGAGGGGCTGTGGGATGGACAGGACAGCCTCGTCCAAAGAGGTGGCAGTCAAGGAGAAGTCCTTGGTGTCATAGATGTCCAGGGGTGTCACTGATCCATCACTGAACTGGAGCCATGTGTTGACTATAGCTTCCTGCAGGGACAGAAACCATGAGAACCACTTGGGGGTGTGTACTTTATCTCCAGGGACCCATCCTAGAACACCAACAAAATAACAGGAAGGATGACATGGAGTCCTGATTGGGTACCAATGTACTGGGAAATCAAATATGCTTTCTATCAGAGAGATATCCTAACACAGCCCCAGCATAAGTCATGCAGAAAACACACACAGTCCTGAACCAGCTATTTGTTATCTGCCAATCACTTATTTCTGGGCTCCATTAGCTTTCATAGAACAATGGGGGCTTGTAGAGGTGAGAAAATAAGGCAGAAAATTCTGTCAGAGCCAAAGACCTGAAACTGGAAACTTTGGGCTAGGAATATGGACCAGTTGATAACATGCTTGCCTAGAATGCATGAAGTCTTGGGTTTGACTCCCAGCACTGCTTAGGCTAGGTAGTGCAGAACATACCTTTCATTTTAGCACCTGGGAAGGAGTTGGAAGCAGGAATATCATCCTGGGGTACATGAGACACTGTCTCAAAAAAGAGAAAGTCTCTCTTCTCTCCTGTGATAGCAAATCTTGATTGTCAGCTTCACTACATCCAGAATCAACAGAAGCCTTTGCTGTTGGACACTCTGGGAGGGATTTTCTTAATCAGATTATCTGAAGCAGGAAAACCCATCACCACACCTTTAGTGGCAGCCCAGATAAAAGAGCATGGAGGAAGGAAGCTTTGCTTTTGCCTGTTTGCCCTCACTCTTGCTGACAAGTTCATCTATCCTAGTGCTGCAGCTGTCATTAAATCCAACTTCAGGTTTCCAACATGGACTGAAGACCAGCAGCTTTCCAGAATCATTCAGAACTCCTGAGCCAGACTGTGACTGCAGAGACATCCAAGGTCATACATTGAACAACTACCAGGTTCTCTACCTATCCATCATAAGATGACCATTATTGGAGTACCTGGGCCACGGCCAGTAAGTCACTTCAATAAATTCCCTTTTGATGTAGATCTTCATTCTTTCTGTTCTGTTCTCTAGAGAAAACCCCAACTAACTCATCTATCCACTCTATTCTTCCCCCGGGGTCTTAAAGGTGCCTTTTGTGTTGTGGGGGAAACAGGAAAGCAAGATTATCTTCCCTTTGTACAACCCTGATGTGCTCAGACACACTCTTTGCAGGACAGTCTTGTAGACAGCAGTGACTTGCCCATGCCATCTCATCTCAGCTGCACTGGGACACAGCACCAAAGCTTGGGCCAGTGTCATGAGCTGAGTCATTAAGAAGACCTGTAATCATTCAGTCAAGGGCCAAACAGATACAAATACTCTTCCATTGTGGAGAACAGGGAAGGGAGTTTGAGAGCTCTTGGCCTGGAAGTGTCCTGGCTCCACCTTCATATGCTTGCTATGTTCTCAGTAATCACAGACATTGCCTACCAGACAGCCCAGGCACGATACAGTACAACGGTGGCCACAGATCCACCTATAATGATGCTCCAGGGCATTTCCTGCTGAAGCTCTCAGCACTGTAGACAGATCCTTAAAGTGTGGGTTCCCAGGACAAACCTGGAACTCTTGAGATTCTATTGGATAAAGGTTGGGAATCACAACGGCACATATGGAACTCAAGAGGATGCCCCCCTTGCAAAACGGATGACACTACAACAAGTTTAAGCAGTGTCTCACACCTGTCAGATTAGCAAGAAGTTAGCAGAGTCCTGTTGCGCTGGAGACCCAGGAATCAGCTACTGCCAAAGCTTCGTGGTCAGCCGTACCCAGAACAGCTTTGCTCAGCCTTTCCCTAAAGGCTCACTGTGGTGATCTTCCCTCATCACCAGACCAGTCCTGATTGTGGGAGCTTTTCAGGTTGCTCATCTGGCCACACCCTTCTTAGATCCTATTACTGCAGAAAAGGAGGCAGTGAGAGCCCCTTCACATATGACCAGTTGAAAAACCTATTTCCTCTCTGTCACTGGTGGAAATAAGAAATCTGTATTCAGTCTTGGACTGGTGTGACACTGCCTGTGTGCCACAGGGAGTATGCCACAGGGAAGGCAAGCAGAGAAACAGACTGGAAACTGGACCCAAGGGAACATCAAACCACATGGAGTGCCTTAGGAGCAGAGCAAGGTAAGGCAACAGCTGTACAGGCTCCCCTGATAAAAGCAAAACTTCATCTGTGGGTAGTGTGGCAGGTGTCACAAAAGAGTGATAAACACACACACACACACACCCACACACACACACACA